AAGAAACACGAGATTGAGGCGATCAGAGGGAATTAACAAAGTCAAAGTGGACATTAATGAACTAGAAAACAAAAGTCATAAAACTAACAAAGGAATCCAATCATAAACTACCATATAATCTAATCAAGAAAGGGGAGGAGAGAACAAATATAAAATAGAGGAATAGCCACAGAGAAAATTAAGACTGATAAGAAACCTCAGCTATGCAAGTTGACTTAAAGCCTCAATGACTAGGACAATTTTCTAAAGAAGTATGACAAAATGTGCTCTAGAAGAAACAGAAAATCTATACAGATCAATACCACAGAATACAGAAAGTTGTCAAAGAGTAATAGTCCCCAAACACACTAGGTTTAAAAGGTTTCACAGGGGGAGTCTACCAAATCTTCATTTTTGTAAAGATTTTTATTATTTATTTATTTAAAATTTTTAGGAGGGAAGGGCAGAGGAAGAGGGAGAGAGAGAATCTTAAGCAGTTCCATGCCCAGCGCCAGAGCCTGACATGGGGCTCGATCTCACGACCCTGAGACCATGACCTGAGCCAAAATCAAGAATCCGACCCTCAACCAACTGAGCCACCCAGGCACCCCACTACCAAATCTTTAAAGAACAGATTATTTGAAAGATAAATTGGTCTTAATACAGAAAAAAAAGTTTTCTGAAACAAGCATGGCATTGATAAGAAAATCTGACAGACTGCACATACACACAAGATCTACAAACAGTACACGGATATCAATATAATGAACCCAGGAATTCAAAATATGATTCTTGCTAGTTCTGTAAAGGTCAAAAGTTTCCATAATAAAAAACCAAAATAAAAAATCATTTACTCAAGGAGAAAAAATTCTAACTAGATAACACTTTTTACTTATGAAAAGTTTGATGACAGTTTGGTAAAAGCATAGGAAAACACGCACTCTCAGAAACTTCTAGTGAGAGGATAAACAGCCTCTAGGGAAAGCAATTTGACAATGTTTATGAAAGGTTCAAATGCACACACCCTCTGAGGCAGTTATCCCATGTTCAGGAGTATGCCCTATATATACACTCATACACGCATGGGATGAGGCATGTAGACGACAATTCATGCTAGCACTGGTTGCCAGAGCAAAGACTAGAAACAACCCACCAGCCATAAAGAGGGAGCTGGCTAATGAATTATAGAACACTCATACAAACAAACTCTCAGAAGCCCTAAAAAAGGAAAAGGAAGTACTGTAGATAAAGATACAGAAATCTCCCTAAGGTATAAATTTTTTTTTTAAGATTTTATTTATTTATTTGAGAGAGAGAATGAGAGAGAGCACAGGAGAGAGGGGAGGGTCAGAGGGAGAAGCAGACTCCCTGCCGAGCAGGGAGCCCGATGCGGGACTCCAGGATCATGACCTGAGCCAAAGGCAGTCGCTTAACCAACTGAGCCACCCAGGCGCCCCTCCCTAAGGTATAAATTTTAAAAAGCAAGGTACAGACAGAACTATAAGAAGCTGCCATTTATACAAAAAATGGGGAGGCTAGTGGACAAAAGTAGGAAGATGACATTTCTATGTCCTTTGGCACTTTTTGAATTTGAAACCATGTAACTCCCATCTCAGACCAAAAAGAAAAGCTCATTTTAAAAAAAACCCACCCTTTAGAATGCACTATTGCCATTATGAACTCATAATCCATTTAGAACACTTGCTATTCCTGCTACACTTGCTAACTGGGTGGAAGGCCATATTAAGTAAAGATGGAGTTCAAGAAACTCTTACTATTTTAAAGGGCATAGAAAAATATGGCACACATATGAAAGGGCAACAGTACTCTAGATCAGAAGATTATCTCATTAGTGGTTTTCAATGCTGATTATGCTTAAGAACAACCTGGGAATCTTCCAAAAATACCAGTGCCCTGCACCCCACTCCCAGACTATTTACATAAGTTTGGGGGATGTGACCCAGGCATGAAAAGCACGGATCTAAATGCTTTACAGCAGTCGTCCTCCACAAAGGGTGATTTTGCTCCGCCAGAGGACATGGGGCTGTCTGGAGACATTGGGTTGTCACAACTGGTGCTGTCTAGTACGTGCAGGCATCTAGTGGGTAGGGGCCAGAGAAGCTGCTTTATTTAGTAAACCTCCAACAACGCCCAGGGCACACCCCCAACCATGATCTGTCCCAAAATGTCAAGAGTGTTGAGAATGAGAAAACTTCTTTCAAATCACTGCTTCTGAAGTAACAACCAGTTTTCATCTTTGTTCTTAAACAAGGAAGATAATCTCATTTTACTAGTGTGGATAGATTAGTATAATAAAGCTATTTCAGTGGCCATAGAAACTACAATTTATTTGTTGATGTGCTCATAATGAATACTGAAACACTGAATTCCATGTACATCCTTTCTTTGGTCCCTGTCCGGTTACTCTGTCAAAAATTTATGTCCTGTTTGTAAAACAGTGAGGGAGAAAATCCTAAAGGTCACAAAGTGGCAGCCTGGAGGTCAATATAGTCCACATATCTACTTTGTTTGAGCCTCAGGTCTTTTAAAATATACTGAATTGGAGCCAATCACCTGCCCCTTCTGGAGCCAGCATATACTTTCTGGAGCCTGCCACGGCCCACACCTGGCTGGCTTCATGCAGTCATCTGCTGCTCCCCAGCAGGTCCTTTAAGCATATGAGGTGGCCTTCATCTGCAGTTTTCAACAATCATGAAGGGGCATAAAGCCTCTTTATTCTTCTTCTTCCTCCTTACCTTAAAAATATCCCCACATCCATTCTAAATTCTCAAACTCCTACATTACTTGCCACAAAAGAACTATCAAGAGCTAGAAGAACTAAAAGAAAGGTAGAAGTCGAGATGGCCTTTGTGTGACAACACTCTTCTTCTAGTTGTTGTCATTAAACATAGGCTGCCCGCCACCTGTCTCTGGATATTACAAACTAGGCTTGTAGTTTCTAGCAAATTCCACTACAATTATATATAGCTCTTCTGCGAGCGTCCTTATAAGGAAAAGACTTCAATTATTAGGCTTCCTCCATTATCCTAGATTAGTGTATCCCTCTACCTCTCCCAAAATAGGTCAGAAGCCTTTTATGGGAAATACCTACCAGGAGATTTGGTAATTTTCTTTTCAGAAGCTCATCCCTTTCCCTTTGAAACTACAATCACACAGTTCAGGAGTCATGTTTGAGAGATTGCCTGATACAATCCACACGTTTTATTAATGAGGAAAATGAACCCCAGTGAGGTTCACTCAGCCAAGGCCACACTCTTGAGTTAGTGGCAGAGCAAAAATTAGAACACATTTCCAGATACTGGTCCCACGGGTTTTCCACAATAACACTATCCCCCACTGTGGTTTTCCTACTCAAGTAACATTCTTGCCAAGACACCTATTAACATGGGTAGATATTAGCTTGCTGTAGAACTAAATCAACTGAAATTTCGCCAAGCTATCAGCTATCATGTCAAGTTTGAGGGTGGAAGAAATTGGGAATTTCTGGATTCCTTTTGTTCCTTTTACTGTGAATTAACTTAACTCAGTTTACCCCAGTGAAGCTGATACCTTCAGAATCTTCTCTAAACCATAAATTAGAGATGGAAAACATGCTATTTATAGCAATGGTGACCTTTTGTTTCTAAACCCTTAAGTCAGGAGCCGCATCAAACCTCTAAAATTTCAAAAGGGGCCAGAGATTTGTTAACTACTGAAAGGCTTTCAGGAGTGAAGTTTAAGATGCCAAGATCAACATCTCATTGAACTTTGACTCTCCTCATCATTCTCTGGCAAAGTGGGTGCTTAAAATCTAATATGGCCTCGACTTTAACTTGGTCCTCTCTTCCTATCCCAACTTTTTCAGTATAGGCAACATCACATTTTGCATATCTAATACTTCCCTGGATGTTCTACCTCCTCTGCACTTTTAGTTTTTATTCCCACCTGATACCGTCCCTTTACATGTACATAAAATTCATTACATGAAGAGATGCCCCATTATGTTCCCTTGAGAGCTCAGAACATCTTTGCTGCTCCATTTTATTCCCCTTCAGGGATGCTGAACTCCATTCGGATACCTGGGTGCGCATTTTTGTTTTACTCTCAGGTGGTTCACAACCAGCTCCCTCGCCTTCAGCAATTCCAAGTATTCGCTCCGTGGTTGAAAAGGCACCACTCTGGGGAAACACGATCCGGTGCGCATAAGGTGGTGGAATCTATTCCCATCTCAGCTAGGCCTCTGGGGCAAGGTGAGGGCCGGCCGGGTCTTCGGCGCTCCCACCTCAATCCGCGTCAGCTGCCCACCAGCCCACTCGACCCCGGAGAAGGTGGTGGGACACAAAAGGGGCGGCGCGACGAAAGGTGTCGGCACCGAGACCGGGGGGTGTATCAGACCCTGCTCTGACGCTAGGGGCCCACGCGTCCTCTCCTCCCCAGCATTTAAGGCGTTCGCAGTCTAGGCCTCTAACTGCTTTAACATTACATGAAAAGGACAACAGTTCGAGTCCTACCACTCCAGGCACATGAGAGCACCTTAGGGCAAAAAAGGAACAAAATGCTATTGCATAATTTATTCGACCTCAAGGTGTTTCTAAACAGCTCTTACCCAACAACAACAACAACAACAACAACAACAAAAGAATCTACAAGTAAAAACATTAAAATCCACCCACATTCCGCTACTAAGTTTTAAGGACGGGTGAGGTCTGTGTCAAGTAGATTTGAAGCTACCGAAGCAGGTTTGGGGAGTCCCACCTGGAGGAGGGTCCTCGGACGCGGTTTCTGTGTTTCCAGGTAAAGCCCTGGCTGGTGTGCGGGTGCCAGGCCCTGCCCCCTCCGCGCCCCGAAAGTCGACTCCCCAGGAGAGCCCCCGGGCATCCCGGAGCCCCGCCCGCGGTTCCCACGGACTTTGCCCCGAGCTGCAGAGACCCGCGGCGGCGGCGGGCCCGGAAGGTAGCGGCCCCGCGTCCCGGGTCTGTGGGGACCGTAGCGACCGTGGGGGCCTGCGGCCCCGCACTCACCGAAGTCTAGGAACTGCTTGATGGAGAGTGGCGATGGCGAGAAACGCGAGTAGCGTTCGATCTGCTTAGGCACCGGCTGCTTCAGCAGCCACCGGAAAAGCCGCATCCTCGCCGAGGCCGTGCACAGACCAGCCGAGACGCTCAGGCAGCCGCAGGAGCCGATGCAGCCGAGCCGCGCGGATCCGGCACGTCAGCCGAGCTCGCACCCCGGCCTCCGCCTCGGCCTTGGCGCCGCGGGTGCAGCCGCCGCAGCAGCAGCAGCTCCCGGGCCGCCGCCGGCCGCCCGCGGCTTCCCCAGGCCCCGCCCACGGGGGCGGAGCCGGCCGCCGCACGTACGCGGCGCACGGAGGGCGCCGGGGGCACGGGGGGGCGCGCGGTCGCACGCGCCGGCCGCTGATTCGCTGCCGCCGCCCTCGCTTTCTTTGGCTTGAGTTCGCCCAGATGCCGGCGCCTCCCTCCGTTGCTCTTGGGGCTGAGCCCCGCCCGGCAAGTGCAGCAGCCCCGCGTCCCGCCCCCCGGCTAAGTCCTTCGCGACCCAGAGGTAGCGAAGGTGCCGTGGGACTGCAAGGAGGCCCGGCGTCCACACCCGGAAGCCAGCCCTACGCGTTGTTCAAGGCCCCTCTCAGCCGCAGGCACCTCTTCCGGGAGGCTTTCCCTGGACGGGCTGGCTAGGGCCCTTCAGGATTCTCATTACGTCTTGATACTTTGCTTTTCATGTCCCTTTTACCACTTAACAGTAGTGGCTGTTTCATGCCTGCCACCACACCCCCACCTTAGGCAGAATTAAATGTGGTTATGTTTCACGCCCGCCCCCCACCCGTTGGACAGGCTTAATTGTCACGTCACTAAATCTCTGTTACGTGGCCCACCGCACCGCCTCCACCCACACCCCCATCTCCCCATCCTTAAGCTCTCTTTTGAACACCTTTGGACAGGAATGTTAGGTCACTCACTCTGTTTCGTGGCCTTCCGCCTCTCGTTCCCACCAACCGTCCCCCCACCATCTTCCCACCTGAGGCCATCACATTTGGACAAGATTAAGTCATTGTTTCGTGCCACCACAACTACCGCTGGACAGTATCAATTCTAACATCACTGACACTTGGTTTTGTGCCTCCCACCCCCATACCCCTTCCCATACCAACTGGCTGTTTCATACCACCACTACCATTGGAAAGGCTCAAATTAAAGGTCATTGGCATTCTTTCATACCGCCTCACTCACCAGCACCACAACCACCACCACCAAAGGACAGTTCCCTAACTCTTTCAGGCTTCACCAACCTCCAGCACCACTATATTTGGATAGGAGTCTATGTTTACACTAGGTGCTGGGTATTTTTTTCTCTGCATACCAGTGAACTTGAACTCGGGGCTCAGTATATGAAATCATGATTTCCTAATGGTGTATGAAGTACTGCTGACTTTAACCATTTTCACCAAAACTTTATTTTTGGGAACGTATAAACATCAACTAAAAGGAAAAGTAGAATGTTCTCTAAGGAAAGGTAAAAATGTAACTGGAGACCACTCTTTTGATCTGATTAGGCTGGTTTTCTCATTGAATAAAATTATTGGTGTGTAGCTATTTAACTTTTGTGACTTCGTTGGGTATTTATGCACCCAATTCTTTGCTTACCAGTTGCATCTTTATTCTGAATTTAAAGAAAAGTAATACATACCCTCAAAGGCATCCAGTGGTCTGCCCATACTTCTAGATTTTCAAATACGTCTTGGTCATCTTGGTGGTGGTCTGGTACCTAGATTACCATGTCCTCTCCATTCAAACCAAAACCTAGAAGAGATGTACTGACAACCTCTGTAGCTGGGTACTTTGCCAGCCGAGCTAAGCAATCCCGTTAGTGTGCATGGGCAGACAAAAAGAAGACCTGTAGCCTGTGATTCTTCCAGGGACTTTTGCAGGTGCTACCCGGATGTCAGAGTGTACTTGGTGATGGCTGCGGTAGTCAGTAAAGAGGAAGGTTCCCCCAACCTAAGCAGCAGAAGATTGCTGCTGATCTTTCTGAGCTGGCACATCACTTGTGTCACTATTTCCTTTTCCAGTGAACGCAATCTGTGTATTCTGTGTATTCCCAAAGCAAAGTATCAGGACGTAATTTGATTACTTCAACTGTCATGTGACTAGTTTTACTTATGCTTCTCCAAAAGCTGGCAAAGTCCTAGAAGTTGGACAAAATATGAGAGAGTCTGGGGTAATATAAATTGTGCTGGTCCAGGGCTCAAATGACCGAGTCCTAAGCTTGGTTCTATCATCAACTGGCTATGTGGCCTTAGACAAGTCACTTAGCCTTTCTCTGTCCAAGTTACTTCTTATGTCAGATGGAGATACCTGATTTCTCTCCCTGGCATCTGTGACAATCAAATGAAATAAATCATATCTAATATAAACATAAAACATTGTTCTACCTCTTTCACACAGCAATACATTTTTTAAGCTAATAGTCTCATGTTAACTGGCAAAATCCAGAAGTTAAACCAGTGAGTTGATTTCAGTACTGGTTACAGTTATAAGAGAAGGATCTTGAAAGAAATAAGTAGGTCTGGGGGGCGCCTGGGTGGCTCAGTCGGCTAAGCGGCTGCCTTCGGCTCAGGTCACGATCCCAGAGTCCTGGGATCGAGCCCCACATCGGGCTCCCTGCTCAGCGGGAAGCCTACTTCTCCCTCTCCCTCTGCCTGCCACTCTGCCTACTTGTGCTGTCTCTCTATCTCTCTGTCAAATAAATAAATAAAATCTTTAAAAAAAAAAAAAAGAAAGAAGTAGGTCTTGATGAGCTTTTTTCAATTCCTTGTACACACCAAGGTTTGCCTGGGCCCACTCCCAGTGACTCTCAAAGCAAGATCCCTGGACCACCCGCATGAACATCACCTGGGAACTTGTTAGAAATACAAACTCTTGGACCCCAGCCCAAACCTACTGAATGATAAACTCTGGGGGTGGGGCCTGGCAATTTGTGGTTTAACAAGCTTTGAGGGTTTTAAAGACATGGCCAGAAATTCTTTGATATTCGTCCCCCCAAGAGATGGAGTTTAATTCTTCTCCCTTTGAGTGTGGGCTTGATTTAGTACTCACTTCCAACAAATAGAGGATGGCCAGAAGTGATAAGCTCTCACTTCAAAGATTAGGTTATAAAACGACTTCACTCTTACAAATACCTGACCAGTGCTCCTCAAAACTATCAAGGTCATTAAAAACAAGGAACATCTGAGAAACCGTGACAATCAAGAGGAACCTAAGGAAGCATGACAACTAAATATAATGTGCTACCCTGGATGGGATTCTGGAACAGATAAAAGGACACTAAATAAAAACTACAGAATTTTTTTTTTAAGATTTTTTTATTTATTTGACACAGAGAGCAAGAGCGAGAGAGAGCACGAGCAGGGGGAGTGGCAGAGGGAGAAGCAGGCTTCCCGCTGAGCAAGGAGCCCGACACGGGGTTCGATCCCAGGACCCTGGGATCATAATCTGAGCTGAAGGCAGACGCTTAACCGACTGAGCCACCCAGGTGCCCCAAAACTACAGAATTCTTAATAAAAGATAAACTTTGGACCAAATGTGTTTAATAATAATATACCAACGTTTGTTCACAAATTTAATGAATGTAACATATAATGCAAGCTATTAATAGTAGGGGAAATGGAGCATAGGACATATGAGAACATTGTGTACTATCTTCTCAGTTTTGCTGTAAATCTGAAACTCTTTGAAAAAAATAAAGCCAATTATACAATACAGTATTAACTATGGTCATCATGTTGTACGTTATATCCCCAGAACTTAATTTTAACTTATAACTATTAAGAGTTGTTAAAAGTTCTTATCGAAAGGGGAAAAGACTGTAACTATGTGAGTTGATGGGTGTGAACTAAATATATTGTGGTAATTGTCTGGCCATATATACATATAGCAAATCATTATGTTGTACACCTTAAACTTATATAATGTTATATGTCAATTATATCTGAAGAAAATGGGGGAGAAAGCAGTATCTTTGGGTTACAAAATGTAAAATAAGGCATATTCAAAGAAAAAATATACGATTTTTTTAAAGATTTTATTTATTTATTTGACAGAGAGAGAGACAGTGAGAAAGGGAACACAAGCAGCAGAGGGAGAGGGAGAAGCAGGCCTCCCTCTGAGCAGGGAGCCCGATGCGGGGCTCGATCCCAGGACCCTGGGATCATGACCTGAGCCGAAGGCAGACGCTTAACGACTGAGCCACCCAGGTGCCCCAAAATTAAGATATTAATAAAAATATTTTATAACCATAGAATACTGAACATTTAAAGAACGTGTATTACAAAAAAATAATAATAACATGAAAATTTTAAAAAATTAAAAATTGACTTCTCTCTTGGGGATTTTCTCTCTCTCCCTTGCTCTCTGTCTTTCTCTCTCTCAGAAGCCACCCGCCACACCGTGAGGCAGCCCTGTGGACAAGCCCATAGGAGTGAGCCTGAAAGCAGATTTTTCCCCTGGCACCTGGACTGGAACCTTGTGAGAGGTTCTGAGCCACAACCACTCAGCTAAGTGGCTCCTGGACTTCTGACCCACAGAAACTCTCATTGCTTGGTGTAATAAATGTTTGTTGTTTCCAGCTATTCAGTTTTTAGATACTTTGTCCGGCAGTAATAGTCAACTCATCTGCATGCCTCGCAGGTGATTCTGACTCATGCTCAAGTGCGAGAACTGCTGTCCTACCCTAGGCACTCTCACCCAGCTCCCTGTCCTCTGGCTAATGCCTCAGACCTCAGCAGCGGCATCACTGAGAAAACAAGGGAGGCCTTCCCCGACCAGGAAGGCAATTTGTTCCCCTTGCTACACTATTTCTTGATTCTCTGTGCTTCTCACTGTAACACTCAAAACTGTTCGAATTTCAGAAATGTCTGTCTTCCACCCTAGACACAACACCTGTGATGGCTGAGCCCAAGTCTAGCTTCTCCCGCTGCTTCGCTACTATGTCCGGCATCAGGACCACTCCCTAGGTCCACAATAAGTATTTTTTAAATAAATGAAAACCAACAACAGGAACAGTAAAACCACCCCAAATCACATTCCTTCCTGTCAGCTCTCAAGGGGGAACAAAGGCAAGGGTAGTATTCTGAGTAATTCAAGCAATAATGGGCATTTCATCAAATCATAATTTCATAAAGCCAAAAGCCAAAAGCCGAAATGAAGTGCAATAGATGAGGGGAAAAAATAACCCCTGATTATCTCATCATCAATCAGTAGTGGGCGGATCTTGTTATAAAACGCCTCCACTGGCATTTGACTTGGCTATGAACTCCTGGTCTC